CTGGCATGGGATAGTGAATCCCCCTCTTCCACGCCCCCCTACCTCCACTCTTCTGCCTCCCTGACTCTTTACCAGCACCTCCATTGACTGATTCAGACTTTGGCTGCTGCATATGCTGCCCTTCACCCTTGGGTCACACAAGGTGGCCAGCATATGTACTGTACTGAACCACAACAGATCAAGCCATTTCCTGATGCCCTCCTTCAGCCACCTCACCAGTGCCTGCAAGTCTGGTGACAGTGGCTTGCCCCAGCCAGGAACATTGGTCCCCTGGAACTCCTCCAGTTGGTTCTCAAGTTCCCTCACTACAGGGATCTCCTGGATAAGGAGGGCATCACCAGCACTGAGAGTCTTGGTGGCCTCGAGGAAGGGCTTGAGGACCACCAACATCTGGGAGATGGTATCCCACTCATCTCTGTTAAGGGGGCTGCTGATCCTAATCTCCCTGAGCAAGGCCATCTCATGGATGGCCTTCTGTTGCTCCACCAGCCTCTCGAGTATCAGGTATGTGGAGTTCCACTGAGTCTCCAGATCCTGCATGATTTTGTGCTGTGGGATGCTCAGCTCTGTCTGTCTGTCTCGCAGCATCTTGGCCCCCTTGATGCTGCAGTGGAAGTAGCTGCCACCTTCCTGCATTTTGAAATGAGCTTGCTAATGGTGCTGGTGCCATCACCAGCAGTCCTGTTCCCCTCCAAGGCATCCCTTACAATGAGGTGGAACTTGTGTGCCACACAGCGATGCCAACCAAGTTGGTGTCATGGACCGCCTTGAACATGTTGGCCCCATTGTTGGTGACCATGAACCTGTGGGTGAGCTCACCCTGCCCAACAAGCCACCCTTGCACCAAGTGGTTCATGTCTCCCATGATCTCTGCTGCTGTGTGGGACTCATCCATCACCTCAACTTGAAGGAGAGCCCACCAACAGCCTGACTGGTTGCACCAGTGCCCTGTGAGGGAGATGTATGCATGATCTCCACCCTGGCTACTTCAGATGTCTGAGGTGAAATGTAAAACCACCTGCACACCTGCCTTACACATCTCCTCCCTCAAGTACTCCCTGCATGCCTCATACAGGGAGGATACCACCATCATGTGGTGGTACATGTGGGCTCTTGGTATAATGGAGCCACGAGTGCCATGAGCTGCCTGAACCCTGGCTGCTCAACTAAGGAGAAGGGCTGGCCATCCACTGCAAGCATCTCCCCAATGCTCTGGGTGATCTTGCTCTCCCTTGCAACTTGCCCCACTTTCTGTCTGCCTTTCCCCCATTGTTCCAGGGTGGCCTCCCTCTGCTTTGGGGGAACAGGGGCTTTGGAGCAAGTGGGGGACTTCTCTTTAGGCACACTCCCACTGATTCCAGGCTGAAGAGGAGCAAGAGCAATGGGTGGTGCCTGCAGAGATCCATCAGCATCCTTGTGGTGCTCATGTGTTGTGTTCCCTTGCCCAGCTGGTTTTGGCTCAGCAGTGCAGGCAGACAGCACGTGTGGAATCATCTACCAGCTCAAAATGATCCCAGACCACACTACCTACTCTCTTCTGGGGTGCGGGTGCATGTGTGGATGCTGCAGTTGCCCCCTCCTCAGCAGGCAGAGGCACAGCAAAAGGAGGAGCGGACTCAGCTGAGCCACTTGCCTCCACACCCTCTATCTCAGCCTCCTCTGAAGTGCCTTCTGTGGAAGGAGACCCAGCTCTAAGGGAAACTTGAGGGGTGTGGAGCACAAACTCAGTTGATTCCCTCTCCTTCCCCAGACTTTCCCTTGGTATAGCACTCGGATCCAGATCCAGCTCTTCGTCTGACACTGGAAGGCTCAGCATTGAAAGTGAAATGGAGGTGGAGGAGACTGTCATGCTGCTGGTGTTGCTTGTTGTCATGATGGTGGGGGGGGGGTTATGGCTGGTGCTCTTGGAGGCAATGCAGACTCAGACACAGGCAGTGGCACTGGTATTGCTCCCCTCTCCTTGCTGCCTGTACAACTAATGGAAGCTTCATGCCTGCTTGTTATAGTAAAGAGGCTGCATCTCTGTTTGGGGGTGAGGGGAACTTACAGCTCTCCCTCCACCCCATCTTGCACCACTCCCTGAAGGCTTGCCAGCTGCCTTTCCAGCACACTTCATGGTGTGTTTCATAGTGTCTTGTCTTTGCCTTTGTGTGCTGGAAAATCTGTCTTTTCATCTGTAATGTTATGTATCTGATTTATGTAATATATGTAGATAAGTGCATGTATGTGTATTTATGTAATGTTTGTAGGTATGTTTGTATGTATGTATTTATGTAATAAATATAATGAAATATATAAATTTATGTATGTGTTTTCCTATATAAATGCTATATTATAATATGCAATATAAGTATGCTGTACTACCCTGGACAGTGTATGGAATGCACACTGTAAGAGAAAGCACAGATTTGAAAAGAATCAAAATAGACTAAACAAAAAGAGGATTTTTGGGGAGGAATAAATTTAAAGGAATCAATCAATTGATATAATAATAAAATAAAAGAGTATAGAAACTAAAGCAAAAGGTATTGCTGAATCCCACTTACTAGGCTAGCAAGTTGTCTAAAGCTGCTCAGCTTCTGGAAGACAGCTCAGTAACTGACTCCAAGGCAGAAAGCTGCTCAGTTCAAATAATGCTGCTTTTTATGCTGTTTTTCCTATCCATCCCCCAAAGCCCTGTGATTGGAAGGGACCTTGGGGAAGGATCACAATCACGGGCCAGCTACACAGTCAATATTAGAGCAGTCCTTTCTCCCTCTTCCCCCTCCCCCTCCTTCCCTGTTTCTCTTCCCAGCTTCAGCTTCGAAACTTGAAATGTTTTGAAACTTTCAAAACATTTTCATTGCCCTCATTTCATTTTGAGGCTGTTTCGAAGCCCTTCATTTCATTTTGATTTTGCTGTTTTGAGCTCAAAACTAATTGAAACAGCATCAAAATGAAAAAGCCGGTGAAATTTCGCACAGCCCTACTCTCTACTATCTCCCACCCCTTCCAAAGGTGGGTGGATACAGCAGCTGTGGGGAGATGAATACCTATCATGTGCCAACACCAGTGGTATGGCAGTGATACGGCAAAGAGTGCCTTCTGCCCTTTCACCCCCTTGCACAGGGGTGAAAGCTGGGCCAGGCTCTAATTTATATTTGTTTCCTTTTATATATAAAAGATACTACTGACTGCACTCCCTTCTCTTTTGCCAGAGATGGATACATTGTATAGGTTGCTTGGGAAAAGTAACATGCTGCTACTGTCCAGAATGCCATTTTACATAAAGTGTTACTCATTTTCTTCATCCATTCATGGGACTCTCCCATAAAAATACTGCACTTCCTATAACTTCAAAATTCATCATTTTCATGAGTAGCACTTATCCTTGAACCTGAGGACTTAAGTGTGCGACTTGAAGCACCTGAGAAGTTTACTCAGGGCAACAGGGGCACTCAAATGCTTAAAGATTTTGTATGTGATTTAGTATCTTGCCAGACTGGGTTCTACACTATTACATTTTTTAATGGACTCATTAACATTACTTTCTACTCTCCACTCTCCATCTCACTCACTTTCACTCACAAAAAAAGAGTGAAAACTTTTTGCTATATTATCCAGTAATTCACATTACTCCTTGAACTCTTAACCCCTGGATTGCTCACACATTAACACCTGAAACTCATTTTAAAGACACTTAAGGTGGCTTAAAATGGTGCCACTGCAAGGCAGGTTTATCTCTGACCTGCATTATCCAGCTCATATTCCATCAATGTGTTGCCATTCCCCAGAGATGAGCCACTCAAGTTGCAGTCCCCCAGCATCCCGAGATGCAGTGTTCCCTCCCCCACCCTCCTGTTCTGTGTGGACAAACTTTCTACTCCTTGAACTCTACTGCTGGGGGCAGGGGTGGGGGTCTGGCACCAAGCCAACTTCTCCCTCCTGTCTCTACGGGTGTGACCTTCCCACCCCCAGGGGTGCAATCCCTTGCAAACAGCCTGCAGAGCACATGCCAGTTAGCCAGGTCACAGGACATGGGTCCAGGAGTGGGTTCTAGGGGGCAAGGGGGAAGGGAGAACAAGGTAAATGGCTTGATCAGGTCCCCATAAGCTGGGGCTTCCTTCCCAGGGCAGAGGCAGTGGCTCCCCCAAAAGTAACTTCCCTCACTGCTCCCACCTCTCAGCCACCCTAGAAAGCATTACTAGCACCCCTATACCTCTATCCCAAATCCTAAATTACACAGATTCACAGAAGTTTAGGGTTGGAAGGGCCCTCATGAGATTTATTAAAACATGAGACATCCTTTAAATTTACTTCCTCTATTTCTTTTTAAATTATTTTTTTAAATTTCTCTTTATTTTATCCTTCAGTGGCTGACTTTTCATTTCACCACTCTTGCCCTACCCCAACTTCCTTTCCACCTCCTGTTTTCATTATCCATCCCCAGCCCATTATCCATCCCTCTGCCTCCTAGCTGCATGTTCCTACCCCCAACCCATCTCTCACCACCACCATCACCTAGAGCAGAGATAGATGCCTCTCCTGATTCACTAGGTCTGCAGTGGCAACATACAGTTGTAGCTCCTAGTCAGAACCTTGCTTGTCAGCCTTCTAGTTACAAGTCTCAGCTATGCAGGTCAGGGACAGTCAGAGAGGGCTTTTAGCCTTAAGGTGCAATTGCCCAAACTCAAGCTAGCACTAACACTGATCAACATCTGAGCAACTCAAAGTACAACATATAACAAGGCCCTAAGAAACAAAACAGGTAACCTTCCAAACATCATGAACTGAGAGAGTGTTAATCCAAATCTGAATTCCTTAGTTTCTGTCATCTGAATCCTGATCTTCAGTTTTGTCAGGTATTTTTCTTTTTTTCTTTTCCCTTTTTACATTTTGTGTGTAGGAGATTGTGGCAAAGTACAAACATGTCGAATGAAATGACTTCACCTCATTTTACTGACAGATCCCTTAATGTTATTGTAATAATACAAACATAACTGAAATTGCAAAAAAAATACCTGATTTTCAAGTAACTGATTACAGCCTTGGCTTGATCAACACTGAAGAAATCTAAGTCACCACTGTTTCCTGAATGAGGTTCTCCTATTCCAACCATTGTTCTCCCAAGCTCTTTTATGTTGTCTTCTAGTGTCATATGTTTGGCTACAAAGCAATTCAGAAGAAAAAGAAAACTAAACAAAAATGTGATAGTTTTTTTTGGCATATTATGTTGTAAAACTCCGAGGCTTGAAAAGTTGTATTTGAAGCCATGTAGAATATAAAAAAAACTCCTGAACAAATATTATTGCTTCTTGTCATTATTCTTACCTCAAACATTAGCGTTCACATTTACAAAATGATCAGTAATCATTGTAAGGATAAGAGCAGTGATGTATTCAAATCTCTGAGTTGATCTTTTACTTATTCAAATATCTTACATAATTAAAAACACAGAAAGTCAGGGTTGGATTCTAATTCTAGATGCAGTCTATATACAGATGTATATCTTAAAAATGTATCTGTTCCTGCTCACATACTGTAATGGACTATTCTTTTGATACAGCCCATTGTAACATGAATAAGAAATAGAAGAATCATACACAATTGTGTATTCATTTTTTAGATATATTTACAAATAATCCTTCTTGATTATAATTTTACTTTGTACTTGAATCAAAAATCAACATAGAGACCATGTTAAACTTTTATTAATCTTATCAAATTAGTGGAGGTTTACAATGACACAAAGGAAGGCTGGGCACCTAAATCATATAAGAAGTCATATGAGTTAGGTATGCCATTTGAAAATTTCTCCTTTGGCCATTTAAGACAGGCCGCAGTGTAACAGATCTTTCTCCTACATGTCTGAATTTTGGGAGCATGCAATTGTAGAAATAAATATTGAAATGAGAAATATCTTTTGTTGTGGAAGCCTGGATAAGTCCTTTCAATTGATACATCTGGTGGTATTGTTATTAATTTTGGTTACAGGGGACAGAAATCAATAATATGAAAAACTAGATCAACTAAATCTGTATATCAGGATATGTCTCTCTTGGATACAGTGTGTCTTCAGTTACAGAGCAGGCATTAACAACAAGTTAGAAGGAATTCTCTCATTGGATAATACAGTTGAAAGAACAAACTGAATATTAGGACAGCAAATGAAAACACAGGAGGTACTGAAAGGTAGATATCATCCTATTCTAAGGAAGTATTTTCAGGTTTTTCCTTTTTCATTCAACCAGTACATTTCTTTGAGTTACTTTTACCTTTTACAATCCTCAGTGCACACTGCATACAGTAATATAGTATTCAAGTTTCCTCAAACTTCAAAGAGAATTGGATAGAGACATAGTGGCTATCTAGTTTGCGGAGGATATAAAGCATAGAAAAAAAGTTTCATATTACTTTATCTCCAGAAATTCCTTGCCCATGACCAATTTGGGGGTTTGATTCCCTTCTCTTTCACTCATTATCAATTAGGAATAGCCCTCTTCAAGTAAAATGAGCTACATGGATGTAAACTTGAGGACATTATGTTTCAGAAATTACTTTTGGGACCCGATTTTGAAGTCTGTTTTTCTTCCCCACAACTCTAGTTTTCCTTAAATTCTTAAGATTGTACACAATAGAAAATGAATATTACTTCCATAGTATACCTACACTTGAATTAGTAACCGGAGGATTAAGGAAACAGAAGTGACAGCTATGAAGATATCCCCTATTCTGTCATTATGGGCACATACAGATGTTTGGGGAGGTTAGAAGGAGGTTAGTTGGCATTAAAAATGGCCACCCGATCTAACTTGGTTCACCCTGGTGCAGGCCTTACACTTAGACCCCCTAGTTAGGTGGATCTAAGTGCAAACTAAAAAATGTAAGTTCAGGACAGTTGGATCAGTCTAAAAAAATTACCAACCCAATCTAAGTTAAACGTACCTCAGAGTAGTGTAACTTAGACTGGGTGCGGTGAGACCAATCTAACTGAAGTTCTGTACAGTTCCCAGCACAACCCTAGGCCTGGGAAACCCAATTGCTGGCCCCAGCCACAGAGATGCACTTTTCTTAGCCCCATCCCCCAGCACCAGGGTATTTTTAGGCTCCCAGCCTCTCTCCCCAACTCCAAACCAGCCAGCACCCCCTCCTCCCCCCACCCCAAATGCCACAAATCACTTCTGGAGTTATTTGTACCAGCAGTCACTGGTGCCAGGAGCTGAGGAAGTAAGTCAGGGTGGGGAGAAGGGTGGGGAGAAGGGAACTAGTTTGCCAAGACGAAGTATTTTTTGAGGGGGTGGGGAACTACAAATAGCTCCTGGTCCCAGGGGGTGGGGAAGAGAGTTTCCCCCATTCCCCAAGCCCCTTGTAGACCCTACAAACCCCTGATCCTGCCAAACCCTCCTGGATCCCAACAACCCCCTGTGTGGACCCCACTTGCTCCCCTAATACTCCTGCAGACCCCACTTGCCCCTCAACCCCCACAATCCCTCTTGTGGACTTTGTCTGCCCCCCTCTGGTTCCCCCCATGAATCCCACCATCCTCCTCAATCCCCCCCTGTGGACCCTGCTAGCCACTTCA